TGGTTTTTGTCAGCCTTATGTCCTTTTTCTCAAACATATTTTACTGTTTTTGTTGAAATTTTGGTTTTGAAAAGTTGATCTGAGGAATCGTCAGAAAGAGTTGGATATTTTTGATTGAATATATTAGATATTTTAAATTTTAAAAAAAGTAAATTATATATAAACAAATTTATAGCAATTTTCTAAACAAATTTGTCTGAAATTGTCTACAGTTTAAAGGATAATATTTATATTTTAAACATATTTAGTAAAACACAGATTTTTATAAAGTAGTTATATAGAGTTAGAGTGAAGGTTATAGTTTAAATTAAGGTTAGATTAGAGTTAAGATTAAAGTTTTTATATATTATAATTTTATAATTTTTTTTTTTTTAACAATCCTGCATTTATTTACTAAAGAATATATATACTATATATTATATAGAGATTTCTAACTATTGCTATCAATTCTTCTTTTTCTACAATAAAAGCTTATCTGGCTACTTTTTGATATCTAAATATAATCTGCTACAGCAACTATTCTTCTTCTCTTTGGCTCTTAGCTTTCTAAGATTGTTTTTTTAAATCTAAAAATAGTAGTTGCTAGCCTTATCAGGATTGTTTTAAGTATGTCTTCTAATACAAAGTCTATAAAGACCTAACCAAGCTAGTTTGTTGTATTAAAATAGCTCTTGAATTTGAATTTCTACTTTTTTTTATATTCTTTCTTCTTTATTTTTATATTAATCTTATAATATTTCTATATTTAGAGATTTGATTTAATAAATAGTATATTTGAATATTTATATATATATATAATTAAAAATTATCTAATTAATTAACTATAAAATTATTTATTAATAGGTATAAAATTTTTATAAATTAAAATATAAACCTATAACATTTTTTAATATATTTGTTTTTAATAATTAGTATTAAAATAAGTTATATTTTTATATTTATTTAAATAATTTAAACTTTTCTAATTTTATATATTAACTATATATTGGCTAGCTATTTATAAAGTTATTTTATAGTATATACAATATTCAATGAATATTTAATAAATATTTGAATATTCATTCAAAATTTTTAATGAATATTCGAATATTAATAGTATTGAACAAATAAATATTCGAATACAAATTTTTTGACCGGATAAGACCTTTATCTATATTGCCCACCTATACTATAGAAAATCCTATATAAATAAATATATATATATATATATATATATATATATATACTATATATACGTATACTGTAAATATAAAATTAAAACTGGAGCTAATTTATTTTAATAAGTCTAAAAACCGATCGTTATGTTAATATTTCCAACAATTGTTTTATGAAAAAGATTCTTTTTAAAAAAAAAAAACTTTTAATAAACATGTTATAGTACAAAAAGCTTCAACAATTGTTTCAATTTTTAACTTTGAAAATTTTTTCAAAAATTCCATCGATAATTTTGTAAAATTACCAGTTAAATTTGAAAATTTGCAAAGTTTAAAACCAAACCATTTATGTTAAAGCTTAAAATATTTTTATACAAATAAATAATTGCCAATTCAAATGAACTAATTTACATAATCGAAGCCATAAAATAGTAGTTTATAATACCAACTACATTGTTAACTACATTGTTATTCTTGTAGACAATTTTGAATCAGCTTTTAGAAATAGAATTTGTCCAAGTTCTTATGCTACATAATGCACATGTACTGAACCAAGTAGTAATGACAATTGCTAGTTCTAAACGGCAAGTTTCTTCGATGCACATGCAATTACTTTCTAATGCGAATTATTTGCTTGGTTCATTTACTTGCAAGTCAAAAGAAAAAACTCCAAATTAGCTATTAATCCATAAAGACAAAGAACGTGCTCTCATTCAATTTACTTTTTTTTTTTTTTTTTTTTTATTACATGTAGTACATAACCTATTATTAAGATAGTAAGTTAACATTCAAAATTTAAGGTAAACAAACAAGAATAAATTTCATACATACCCTCTCAAGTTCTGGTCTTACAGTTCCAAATGTTCCTACCACACCAGCACCACCACCAGACGACTCTGAATCACTCCAATTTCCTCCACGTGCATGAAAACGAGCTCGATTACACACCAAATGCGCATAATAAACAGGCGGAACCTGCATAGAAAGTAAGTATAAATACGTACAGTAACAAACATGGCAACAATTGTTCAAGATTCATACCAGCGAGACAGCCCTGGTACACCTTGCATAAAGATAACATAAATTATACGACATTGTTTGCAAACTAATGATGAATGATAACATAAATTTATTATATGACAAAGATTATATAACAAAGAGAACAGAAATTTAATATAAAGGCAACTTACGTATCAGGGGTAAAACTATTTTCATCATATAGCACACGATAATGTGTCGGGCGCGAAGTTCCTTGAAGCCCAGCATGACTTTGCAAATCTATAACATTTTATAATCGTAAGAACATGTAATATGAAAATATGTAATATGAGAACATGTAATATGAGAACATGTAATATGAGAACATGTAATATGAGGAATACATAACGCTGGAACTTACAAAAATCAAACTGATACGGATGAGTAATGTCTGATTCTATAACCGTCCCAGGAAGACAATTTCCAGTTCTGTCAGCATCTCTTTTTTCAATTGGGAAGAAACGAGTATGATGTCGTTTTTGTACAACGATGAACGTTATTGTTGGTTTATATTGAGAGTCTAATCCTTGGCATGCGCCTGATTAAGACAAACCATATAAGAATAATTACTTTAGAATATTAATGGATACAAATTATTATACATACCTTTTATTGCTTCTATTTCGCTTTTAAGAACCTGTGCAAATTGACCATCCGACACACCATCCCGATAAAATACAATTCTTTCTGGTTTTCTACCACATGATTGATAAAAAGTTCTTAACAATTGTTTAATCATACTGGAAAGATCCGCTATTATTTCGGATTTTCCTTCTTGAATACGAACGGCAGCAGCATATTGAGATGCTTTGGCATCGACAGAAGAACATAAACCAGCAATGGACGGTCGAGATGGATCGGCTAAAATAACGATAAATTATCATAAGATCATAATTCATCTAAAGTAATTATTAAATATAAAAATTAAACATACTAGCTGAGGGATGTGTAACGTCAGCCCCCATAAGAATTGTAGGGCGATCAGTTACAAAAGGAAGTTGATTTGTACTTAAGAAGGAATTCATTCCTCCAATTTTACATTCATTTTAAGACAAACATTTGCACAATATTGTTTTTTTGCGGCCAACATATGTTTAGCCTGAATACATTGTGATGCGACACCGATGATTGTATCGCAAACTCGCTTGATTTCTGCATATAAGTCAACACCAGTATTCGGTAGAACACATAATATAAGTTGAGGATGTGCTTTCGCTGTATTTCCAGCAAGAAGCCACATTTGTTTTAATGAATCCTCAATATTCCCTTGAGGATTATGATGTTTTATTGGCGGCGTTCTATTAGGAATATTCTAGAAAAGTATAATAATATTTTATAAGATTTATATGTATGAAAAAAAAAGGTAATCCTTCACTTACCATGCCTGTGTCTTGACATGTGACGACAAGCTCCCTAATAAATGCTTGAACGGCCTGAGGTGGATACTGATTTTCATGACCAAATACAACAACAGACCAAGAACCAAGAGTAGCACCTGTAGCAACTTTCTTGTCTCTTAGATTCCATACGCCATCTTTTGGCTGAAAAATAGGTTCACGAGACGATGGGTGATACTCTATTCTAGGAATTGGTAAAATCCTAGCTGGAATCTATAATGAATTTTATTAATTACAGAAATATGAATATTAAAAAAAAAATAAAATAAAAACAAAAATAAAACTTACTACAGCCATTTCTCTTGCAATTTGCATTCCAAATTGTTGCAAATACTCGTTTCTTCGATAATCAAGGATTTCGACACCCTGCATTATCTTATTAGCACGGGAATTTGGAGCCTGACATGTAAACCTAATCATATCTGCAACTTGTTTCTCATTAAGTTTCCTTATATGACGTTGCCCCTTATTAATTACAGGGAATTACAGGGATAAATTAGAATCTATACAAACTTGGTAATTTCATAAAACACACATATATATATAATTGATACATTACCTCTACAACATCACAAACTTCCATAGGAAAGAATACATCCTTTCTTACGACAACACAAGGAAGAAATGGATATTGTAGACGCTTATGATATTGGTTTTGAAAGTAAGTTGCAACATCTTGAGTTGTTTCACCTATATCGAATCTTGTATTATTCGCAGATGTTTGTGTAAGTTTTATTATTTTATGTTTTCGCCTTGAAGCAGGAGTATCACCACGATGAATGACACGAATTTTTAGATTTTTTAGTGCTTTTTCGACCATAATTCTTTCTCTTTCTTGCAAACCTCTACGAAGGTCATCAGGAGATCTACAACCTATTAATGATACTACAGTATCTACAAGATTGCCACTTCTATAAAAAGCTGTAGCACTCAAATCAATATTAATCATCATCTTCCCTGAAAGAAAATTTAAATATTAAGAAAAAAAAAATTAAACAATAATTTCACGCATAAAGCAATAGAATGAATAATAATAATAAATTTAAATTTATATACTAACTCATAGTCGGACGAGCGGATTGATAATAACCCTGCCATATTTCAGCACCACCAGAAATTTGCATTGCGCCACCTGATGTGTAAAAGGAACGACCAAAAGTTTCATATCGTAATGATGGACGATATCTTATAAGAACGTCAAGGGCGGTAATGGCTATATGAAAATTAAATAAATGCGAATAAATCATTATAGTATTTTAATATATATAAAATTTTAAATGTAAAGTTTAAGCATACCAGTCAAACAATTTGAGGTTTCTGAACCTCCATTATTAAGGAATCTGTGGAGTTCTTCCATATTTATTTCGCCAACTTTTTTGATCCTAACTTTAAAAGCTCGTGGAGGACGTTTACCAGAAGGAGCACCGTCATCCTCGGGTAATGTGATCTGAAATCAAATGGTAGTGAAGTTAATAAAAAAATTTTATAAAATGGAGAATAAAAAATGAATCAAATTAAAGAATTATTACATCGAATGTATAAGCGTCACCAAAGGCAAAATTTTTTGATGAAAAAATATTTTTACGTCCTATAAAACAATATATATATATATATATTAACGAACGAATTCGAATTAATTTATTCTTTTTAATTCTGATCAAGTTAAAAATAACGCGTAAAATAAAGTAAAAGAATCGTTAAAGGTATTAAAGGTCAAAAAAAATGATCATATTTTCACGTGTTGTTATTAATTCGGTAAAGAAACGGCACTAAAAAAAAATCTTTGTTCAACAAACCATCATAAACGGGTCTTGCTCCCGCTAAAGCGGAGGCTCCATAAATAGTTTCAAGCTCTTGAAAAATTCTTCTGTTTAGAGCAGGAGGAACGTCAGGTGTTATGGTAGCATCATAATGCATTATATTGCCGTCTGGTAGGGAAAGAACTTCAAAGAAGTTTGTACGGACGCGTGTGGTCCTACCCAGGCTACCAAGACCAGGACGTCTTGCAAACTCTACTAGAGCAGCCATTTAACTTTTATTTTTTAGATTACTTTTTAGGAAATATAATTAAGAGTGTGAATTTGAAAGAAAATGATAAACAGCTGAGAAAGCCTATCAATTTCATTCGAAAGAGAACGTAGGAAGCGTGGGAGACGGATCGTAAAAAAAAAAAAAAAAACAAAAAATAGATTTTTTTTTTGAGTGGCTTAAGTGAGTAACGTGAGCAATATTGTACACATATAACCATAAACAAGATTTCTATCTTGTTTAAAATGACAAATTATTGGCTACTGAGAAAAAAACGGCTTATCCTGCATAACAAACGACTGGCGTACGTACCTTAGGATAATATTGGGTCATCCGTCAAGCTTGTTAGTGAAACACGAACGCGGATAGTTAAGAATCTTTATAAAGAGACGAGTAAAGGAAAAAAAAAGAAAATCCTTTTTATTAAACTAAAGAAATTATCGACCAATCGATAATGATCATGATTGATAAACTTTTTTTTTGATCACCGAACACAGCCTCGGGAATAGATATAATGGGTTTAGGAGACGAAAAAAAAACGAGACGTAATCCGTGATGAATCAAAGAATCGCGAAGTATCCGATTAATTCGATTACCGATTATTAATTAATTAAAAATTATTTTTAAATTTTTTTTTTAATTCTTTGGTAAAAACGAAATTTTCGAATATTTAAAATATTTAAGATTGATAATATAGATTTTCGTATATAGATTTTAAAAAGTGAGTAATGAAAGTAAGTGTTTGGTCGATTATTTACGCATAAAGTCTATTGTTTCCATAAAAAAAAAATTTCAGCCCAATGGTAAAGATCATATGGTTATTAACATTTTTGGAAAGGGCAACTAATAATTTAAAACTGTTTGCGCAGGTGTCAATTACTGATGTCAATAATACTTTTCTAGAATATATGTAAACGGTTATTTTTTCAATTATTACTGAATGATTCGAAGAATTCATAGCCAGTCATTTTGTAAGTTACATTTTTTTTTTTTTTTTTTCTCGGATAAAAAAAAAAACTTTTTTAATCATTACATGCATTAACCTGTTATTAAATGACGTAAATCCTTTTGATTTGAATAGAGAAAAAAATTAACAGGTAAATCACTGACGCGACATGTGTTAACATCTAACCACGTATCAAAGGTTATTTATTGACAAGATACAGGCTGTACAGTCTGACCAGCTTGTTTATATTCATAAGCTTAAGCTTTAAATTTCTCACAGCCACCAATAACGTTCGTGATCATCGATCAATGGAAAGAGGAGGATCAACGTGACGCATTTAAAGTAACATTATCACTACATTATCACAAAGAACATGCATTCTATCCTGTAATAAGTAAAGAATAAGTCTTGTTTGTATTTTTATTTAAGTCAACATACAGTAAATTCGTCTTACCTTAAAATCATTCTAGACATGTGATTTCATTGCCTTTGCATGATCGCGAACCTGTTCCTTTCAACAATATTTGGTTTGTCACGATGGAAAAGCTTTATCTCACATCATCACATGCATAAATATATCTTGTTATATTCCGGTATATTTTTGATAGCAAAAACTTTGTTTCGCTTGGCATCGGGAACAAAAAATGGGGATCGCTAAAGCAGGACTGATTCATTTACAATATTTTAGTTAATACGTATTATCATTATTAAGATTAACTGTTAAACTAAAAATTAATACGTATTATATATATACGTATATATGTAAAAATTACTTAATATTTTTTATTAGTATATACTTCATATTAGTATATACTTCAAGATAAGTTTAGACGTTCATTTTTTATAATCAAAGCTGCCGACCTTTAACGATAAAGTAAATTTCTCATTATCTATCATCCATCACTTGTAACTTTTGATTTAACAACAACTTCTAAATTCATATACGTCTTTAAAAGATTATAAAGTATCAATACTTAAAAATATTGATTTTACTATCCTCAGAATTAACATTACAGTGTTAAATGATAAATTAATCGATCCGCTTTCAGGTAGCGTCTCTGATTATCTGAATTATCTGAATTATAACGTCATATTTACACACATTTAATATTACTAATATCAAAAACTAACGTTAATATTTGCTAATATCGAATATTATCGAATATGTAGATATTATCGATACGTATTATCGATATTACTGTATTATCAATATTATTAATAATATTGACATCATTAATCTATGATTTTTTTTTTAAAAAAAGATCACAGATAAAATGGAGATTGAATTTGATCAAGAATTAATAATTTCTATAACTCCTATATACAAAAGATCAAAAAAATGTCTTTCGAAGATTCTAAAGATCAATTACCAATTAACAGAGATTCAATTAATCCTTTAAATGATAAGGGCGATTATCCTACAGGTTCGTGTCTAAGTGATTGTTGGCGTTTTTTAAGGACTGGACCCGAGTAAAATCAAAAATATCCATTAAACCCTCCCCTAAATTCTAACTTGTGTTCTACCCAAATAAACGGGTAACCGGTTAGAAGTTCTTTCATCAGGTCCAATCTCTTAGATGTTTGATAGACTTTACATATATGTATATATCTGTATGTATCGTATGTAAATATGTACATGTATATATAGTATACGTATGGATGTAGATGTACATATACGTACATGTATATAGTATATTTTTATAGATACTTACTATTTATTTTATCGTTATACTTGTTTTTTTTTGATTATAGCCGAAGCAAAAACACGTGGAGAAGGATCAAAGCAAACATCTCAAAAAGGTGGCTTTGGTCAAAAAGTCCAAGAACAGGAGATTGGTCATGGGTTCATTCCAAGAAATAGGGGTAATAAAATGAGAGAGAATAAGGAATTTGAAGAGTTGGCTCATGAAGCTAAAAAATATTGAATAATTTAGAATTGCTTTTTTTCAAATTTGATGCATTTAATAAAGAGTTTGAGAGTTTGATGCGCTTTTATTGATATGAACGTAAAAAGTTATTAGACCAATATTTAGTTTTGAATGTTAAGAGTTGATGCGCTTTAATTTAACAAAGTTAGAGACGAATTATCTAACAATGTGTACTTTAGTAATATAATAATATTTAATAAAATACTTTACGTCTTAAATTCTTTATATTATTAATTAATATATAATAATAAATAATAATAATTCTCTGAAAAAAATCAAATCAAAATCACATGTTATCATAATTCTGGTCATAAATCTGTGGAAAGAATTATGAATTGATTGACCAGAATTATGTAAATCGACATATCTCTAAATACAAGTGACATAAAAGAGTCATTCCTTTCATTTTTGGTACTACCTTGATCTTTTTTTAACATGATTAAGCTTGTAGTATGCACTAATAGTAAAGTGCATCTTGTCTCTATGAATGAAATCCTATTAAATCAACCAAGAATTGATTAATTAAAAAATATATTTCGCGAAATTTCATAATCAAATAAAAAGCTGTTTCGACACGTGATATTTAATATAATAATTATAGAGTTAGGTAGCTATCGCTTGATATTAAGTAGGATTTTTCTATTTTTCTTTTCATTATATGAGCCCTTGTAGATATAAGCAAAAGTTTTGCGTTAACCTTCACAGTTCATGAAACACTCATTGTATTATTCCTTGCGAAACACGTGATAAAGTATAGAAAGTTTCTTTATTTAGAATAGTGACCAGCATTAAAAAATACAATACTTTACTGGAATTAAAGTGATGGCAAATCCATGGTAAGATGTTCTTAATAAATATTGATTGTCAAATTTTTAAATGATCGATCAGACGGTCTTTTTTACGCACGGTCGATCAAAGGGAGAATAACTGAATATGGTAAGGTGAATTCCAAGGTGAGGCTTTGATGAAAAGTGAGTACTGATCATATAGTCTAATGTTCATTAGTATGTATATTCGGATTTCTTTAAGATCATATTTAAGGATTCCTTATTCGTAAAATCGCGTCTTTATAATCCTTAAATCTTTTTATACTATTTACAGAAATGGGATTTCCGGATCATCTAATCATTTTGAATAAAATTATGGTAAGCTAATCAGTAATGCACATCAAGATTCTTTTATTATAGTACAAAATATTGGTTAACTTAATAGGACTGAATGAGCAAATAAGTGATAATTAAGAATATCATGAATATCATGTTTTGATAAAGAATTTATTGAAAAGTGCAGAAGTGCGTCAAAAAACAGATCATTTCCTTGGTTATATAACTCAATGTTTAATAATTGAATTACATACGCAGATACTTACGTACAGTACGTATCGTATCAATAATAATAATAAAAAAAGCGTATCTTATCTATCAATCTTATTCAAAAAAACTTGAATTGTAACCAGTAATAGCTTGGTGAATACTGGAATACTGTAATCAATAATAGCGTTAAGTTAGTTTGTATCGGTAGTCAGTAGTGATAGTAGTTTGGTGAATACTATTTATCTGTTATGTGATAGATCACACAATACGGTAAATAAAGATGATAAATATCAATAACCGATCTTTTAACCTTTAAATAAACTGAATGAATAACTGTATAAACTAAATGATTTTCAAGAAAAACAGGGATCATTTCTAATCTTAGGACTCCAATGAAAGTTGCCTTTAGTAAATTCCCGAGACAGTAATTTAAATTATCAGGTCACGAGATTTGTGAAAGATGGTCCGACCGTTTGTTTCTGTTGTTTCTGTTATTCTGTGCGTGTGAAAAATCAAATGTTTATTATCACCCACGCGCTATCAATTGTTCAATGTATATCTATATACGGGTTATCGCGATTTATATTTAACTGCAAAATATATATTTAATATAATACTTGAATTAGATCTTCGATGGCTGAATTTAACAATTTTGGTAACAGTCATGTCTCGGTGTTTTTTTTTTTTGGATATATTATCTATCGCTTAAGTCATCAAAGTGGCCAAAGTCCAGCTTTCAAAACTTCCTTTAATATTATCTTTATTGAAATTCGAATTAACTATTTATGTCTATTTCATTGATACAAATTTTCT